ATCGGAATTGCCTGGACAGGTGATTATCCTAATGTATCTATAGGATACAATATTGGTCCCAAAAGCAGTCAGATAGCCGAACTCTGTGCAGTATATAAGACCATTCAAATGGCAATAGAATATGGTATCAAAGAATTTGTTATTATAACTGATTCCAACTATGTTCGCAACAGTTTCGTCGAATATCTGCCTAGCTGGAAACGTAACCAAATGCTGAAAAGCAATAACAAACCTGTTAAACATGGGAAATTGTTTTGTAAAATCGATGAACTGGTTAAGGAAAATGGTTTAACCATATATTGGAAGAAAACCAAAGGCCATTCTAAAATAGAAGGTATTGACAAGGATGGTAATGACTTAGCCGATTCACTGGCAAAACAAGCTGCCATCAATGGTGAAACCCTAAACATTGATGATCTTATGGGTTCAATTCATGTTGAAGCCATAACTAGACGACAGGCTAGAGATAATGCCGACTTAAATGTCGTGCAATGGAGTCAAGAAGCTCCTAGTGATGACCTGATTACTAGTCAAAAGAACGATCCCGTCATAGGCATATTCTATAAACATATAGAAGACCCTACTGCCAATCCCATCACAGATGAGGATTGCAAAGATAATGAAGATTTACGAATCTTGATGAGATATAAAGTCCAATTTAGTATCATGGATGGGTTACTGGTCAGAACTTCTAAACATGGTATACAACAATGGGTAGTCCCAACTGTATACAGAGGGTTAATGCTCCAACACGCACATGATGCACCTACATCTGGGCATCGTGGTGATAAGATCACATATGAGATATTGCGTGATTATGCATATTGGCCACACATGTTAAGGGATGTTAAGACATACTGTCAGGGATGCTTGATTTGTCCGCAATATCAACCCCATGGTCCAACCCATCGTGCACCACTTCAGAAGAGGGGGGTGTCATTACCCTGGTCTGATATTCAAATTGACTTTATAGGTCCTGTAACAAGATCTTCAAGAGGTAACAAATACATGTTAACCGTTACATGTATGTACACAAAGTGGATAGAATGTTTGCCTTGTAAAGAGAACACGAGTACCGTGTGCGCCACTTTGTTGATTAACCATGTCTTTTCCAGGTTCGGTCTGCCTCAAAGAATTGAGTCAGACAGAGGTAGTCATTTTACCAGCGAAGTAATGGCTAAGATGTGGAACATTCTAGGTGTTAAACGAAAGCTACATATTGCATACCGCGCTGCGTCTAGCGGGGGGGTAGAGCGATATAACCAGTCTATCGTTAATATTCTAAAGAAATATGTTAAGGAGTCTGGTAAAGACTGGGACATTAAATTGCCCCTAGTTTTAATGGCGATTAGAGCTACACCTAGCACTGCTACCAAATTGTCACCTTTTGAATTGATGACAGGAAGAAAGATGGTTTTACCACAGCATTTACTATATCGTACTTCGGATCATAACTTGATCAATGCTGCCACTACGCATCAGTATATCGAAGATTTGCGCAAGCATTTACAGCATGCGTTTGCTTTTGCCCAAAAGAATCTAGAAAAAGCAGCGACAGGGGTTAAGACCTATTACGATTTAAAAACCACGAAAAAGGAATATGAAATCACAGATCAAGTCTATCTGTATAACTTTGCGCGAAATCAAGTCAAGGAAAAGAAATTTTTACCTTCTTGGAAAGGGCCATATGTCATTATTGACAAAATTTCCCCAGTAGCGTATAAGATAAAAATTCCTAAGGATGGTGATTTTATTGAAAAGTGGGTTCACATTAACCAGTTGCGTGCTTGTCATCCTAAATCTCAATTAAGGATTATAGGTGTGGATTCGGATGCAGAAGGGTGAACGACTAACCTGGATGAATGCTTGATTCACGTGGTATAGTATGATGTGAAATGTTGTGATGTGCCATGATCTCATGTACGTTCATGTCATTAACCATTTCCTTGCCATCCAATAACTACATTTTATAAGCAGGTTACTAGCTTGTTTAACTGCTATAGGCAAATTGCTGAAGAGTCAGTAATAAATGTAGTGAGGGATGAAGTTATAAAAATAGAATTAGACAGAATACATATGTTGATGAATCGTAATAATGTGTTGTCCTAGGCCAAGTGATGTCACACTGTTATAAGTTTGTATGCTTAACAAACCTTGAATCATTAGTAGATAAGTCTGAAACGAGTTCCTGATCCGTGACTGTCGAAAGATGTCCAAGAAGGATGTGGCGTGTTTCTGGATCGTACTGCTCCTGTGCCAAGAGCTACGGACCGACCCGATCGCAGAGATGGGACCATCCTCCGGCATCCTGATTCAAGAGACACCAGGGTTCATCTTAACAGAGAAGAGGATCCTGACCAGACGTGTGTTCGTCAGCTTGGACCCCAAGATTTCCATCGAGAAGGCATACAACATTTCATCGATGCAGCTTCCTGAGTTACAGACTTGGTACCAGATGCACCTCCAAAGAGCACAGGACCGTGTGCGAAACATCTTGGAGCAAGCCCGGAAACCATTTGTATCCAGTTCTATTCCGATGAGCAACCGACCCAAAAGGTTCCTCACCGCTATAATTGTTGCATTAGTTTGTGCCACTGTCGGTGCAGTTGTCGCAACTGGAATGTCTGCAGCCAACTCTATTACTGTCCAAAAGCTGGATATGGAAATCTATGCGCTAAAGCAACACATTAACGATATTCATCAGGTGATACAACAGCAAAGAACACTTCTCCAAGACGTGTTAACTATTGTGGAAGACACAGTTGTTACAACAAATTTGCATTCAGAGTTAATTGCCAAATCCACTGAGTTGCACCAAAGTCATGACTTATTTAAGCGTGAACTTCTATTTCTGCATGACCCAATATTGTTCCACACACTTGCTTTTCTCGACGAAGTGCAAACTGGAATGATCGAATTGACAGGGGGACGCACACCTCTGTATTTTGTATCCAAGGATATTGTTCATGCGATGCTTGCCAATGTGGATGGAGAGACAATTGAGCATATGCAATTAAATCTGGCCTTTGAGATGGGGAGCGCTATACCTCTCTTAATTGATCCGGAACATATGGAGATTTGCTTTTTATTGGCCATACCATATGTAACTCCCAAAGACATTTTTCAAATGAAAACAATGTACTATGTAATAATGATATTATGGTTGATTGTACTAAGCGTAAAGTTCAAAACTTTTACAGGTACAAATATATACAAAAATGTTCATTCCACACATGTACTATGTTAGAAATGATGTGATTGCACAATATGTCTGATAACTTCTATAGTGCTTATTCATAAGCTAAATTAATTTTGGCTATGAAATGCACTAAAGGGGGGTTATGTCAGAGTATTTATATCGGCAGACATTTTGTGCTATGATAGAAACTAAAAGTGTATATTCTGAGTCACTCTGAACAGACCAGACTCCATTTTGTTATTCCAAGTTAACAAAGACAAAGAGACACTATATTTCTATCTGTAAGCTAACCACTTTCCCAGATCTGAGGAATGCATAGTATATACAAACAAGTGATAAGGAAGGGGGTTGGATAGACTGTCTAAAATGCTAATGGAATATAATCAAATCTAAACCCAGACAATTGTGACAGAGAAGAGTAAATAATTTAATATTTAACTGTCTATATATATAAGGTACCATTGTATGGAAAAGGGTAAACTTAGTTCATGATCTGTCATATCAGAAATTATGGCAGGAATTGCAGACGCTAAGTCTGGACAAAATTTAAGAAACCCTTTGAAATTTTAAATTATGGCGCTATAAAGATAACGCAAAATGACGTCAAAATAGCCACCAGGAAAAGTTAACTCTTTCCTGGATAGGTATGTTTAGTGGGACAAGACTGCCCTCTACAGACCAAATAACTAATTTGCGATCTGGAAGATAACCACACCTCTAGTGCTTCTATTGGGTTATCAACTGATGACGTACAGAGAGTCTGGCCCTTTAAAAGTTAAGACAAGAGACAAGATACAGGAGAGGAGGCAGATGCAAGAGATGCAAAGAAAAAGAGAAAAGAGAGGAATTGGAAGTTTGGGGATTCCAACTCGGACAACATCTGAGACTAACATTCTACTCCTAAAACTCTAACACTTAGAATTTACTGACTTTCTAACCAACACCTCCATGCAGAGAGACTACCAATCGGATGAAATATCTACTCAACTGGTAATTATACTGGTTTCATTTAATTAAATTAAATTAATTAAAATGTATTAATAGCATTATATATGACTGGATAAAGCACGGTCAGATTTCCATATTAAGAAATCTTAGTTAACTAAGAATATATAGTTATAAACATTCCATTCTGCAGGTGGAATTAAGAATAATTATATATTGATGTGATATTATCACGTGTTAGCATACCGCTGTTTTTATCCAGGTGTATTGATTTGCTCTAAATTAAGATAGATATCTTTTAGACAAATTAAAAATCTGCTTATATAATGTGGTAAATTCTCTTATGGATGGTTTAAGAAAATGAATTTAAACTGGCTTAAATGTTATTTTATTTAAAATTTACATAAGAATAGATCTTAACTACCTAGGAGATCTAGCCAGCATTGAAAGGGTTATTCTAACTGTCTGCTAAACTTTACGACCTTACGCTGCACTCTGAGGAATTCTGTTCTCTGTGTGAAAAGTTTTACTTTCAGTCTGTGTTAAAGATGGTAATAAATAAGTCTTGACAGATAATGCTGTTTTAGCCATTGAAACGTAATACCCATTCCTTAGTATTGCATACCATTTTATACTGGATATTCATTGATTATTGTTATGCATGTTACATAATATTATTTGTTAATTATTGATTATCATAAATAAAATCTATTTTTATACATTGTGATATTAATTATATGAAATACATTTCACTTACGATAAACGTTCTTTGGGATCTGAGAATTGAATTAGTGGGCAATTCTCACTGTTACTATTATTATCCCATAAATATCCCCACAAACAACAGAATAGGACCCTTGTAGAATATGCTCTAGAGTTTAGATCATTGGCAGCAGAAGTGAAATGGAACGAACAAGCTTTTATGGATGTATTCTTGAATGGGTTGTCTGATGAAATTCTAGATGAGATTGCCACAAGAGAACTTCCGGAAAATTTAGAGGATTTAGTATCCTTCATTTCCAGAATAGATGAACGCATGAGACAGAGGCAGAACACTCGGGAAAGAGTTACTAGATTTCCTGTAAGACTCGCTCCCTCATTTCAGAACCCTGACTCCTATAATCCTACTCCACCAGAACCTATGCAAATAGGTAATACTCGCTTATCTGAGGCTGAGAGACAGTACAGAAGAAGGGAGGGTCTTTGTTTATACTGCGGGCAGAGAGGTCACCTACGTCTTAGTTGCCCTAATCGTCCGGGAAACGCTCGCACCTAAGTTCCCTTAGAGGACGGGCCTTGGGTGTTTCATTACTGTCCTCTATGCATAATAAAAAAGACCATAGGCTTCTGATTCCTGTCTCTCTAGCTTGGGAAAAGGGGTTTATTTCTACGATGGCATTATTAGATTCTGGAGCAGCAGAAAGCTTTATAGACCAAACTTTCGCTAATAAGCATTGTATCCCAGTCCAATTGAGAGATACACCCTTGGCCGTTGAGGCCATAGATGGTAGACCTTTATCTGAACCAGTAATATTCCATGAGACCAAACCCGTTAAGCTTACTGTTGGTATTTTCCACGAGGAGTTGATTTCCCTTCTGTTAATTTCCTCCCCGGCAGTCCCAGTGGTGCTAGGATATTCTTGGCTCAAGAGACACAACCCTCAGATTGACTGGGAGGGTGGAGAAATCGTTTCTTGGGGTATGGGTTGTAGGAAAGAATGTCTGCAGAGAGTTACTTCTGTTTGCCCCGTAAACTCTTATGCTAACACTTCCCAATCCACAGACGTTCAGATACCATTACAATATCTAGACCTCAAATCTGTATTTGACAAGGGTAAGGCGGATACTTTACCTCCCCACCGGTCTTATGACTGTTCTATTAAACTTTTCCCTGGTACTATGCCTCCCAGGGGTACGGTATACCCTCTATCCACCAAGGAAAACTTAGTTTTAGAGGAATACATCAAGGAGAATTTAGACAAAGGATTTATTAGAAAGTCTTCTTCTCCGGCGGGGGCGGGTTTCTTTTTTGTAGAAAAGAAAGACGGTACCTTACGTCCTTGTATAGACTATCGGGGATTGAACAGAATTACTATCAGGAATGCTTACCCTATTCCTTTGATTACTGAACTCTTTGACAGACTAAAGGGCTCGAGTATTTTTACCAAACTTGACTTGAGAGGAGCATATAACTTGGTGCGAATTAAACAAGGAGATGAATGGATGACAGCATTTAATACCCGTTACGGGCATTATGAGTATACCGTAATGCCGTTTGGGCTTTGTAACGCCCCGGCCGTCTTCCAAGACTTAATCAATGAGGTTCTTAGAGAATTCCAACATGAATGTGTAATTGTATATTTGGATGATATACTAATCCATTCTAGAGACATTAATTCACATCATAGACAAGTCAGAAAGGTATTACAGAAACTTTTACAACATGGATTGTATTGTAAATTGGAAAAATGTAGCTTTGACCAGTCTCAGGTAACTTTCTTAGGTTACGTAATTTCCAAAGACGGGTTTATGATGGACCCGACCAAACTAAAATCGATTTTAGATTGGCCTTTACCTAAGGGACTCAAAGCCATACAAAGATTTCTTGGATTTTCTAATTATTACAGACGTTTTATTAAAGGGTACTCCTCTGTTATCGCTCCTATCACTAATATGACCAAACAAGGAGCCGATACCAAAACCTGGTCTACTGAGGCTTTATCTGCTTTCGAAACGCTCAAACAGTCTTTTGCCTCAGCACCTGTATTAGTTCATCCTGATACCTCTCTACCCTTTTTACTTGAAGTTGATGCGTCTGAAACAGGGATAGGCGCAGTGTTGTCCCAAAGACAAAGTTTAGATAAGCCGCTGCACCCTTGCGGTTTTTTTTCCAAGAAACTATCACACACTGAAAGGAGATATGACATTGGTGATAGAGAACTGTTAGCTATCATTATGGCATTAAAGGAATGGAGACATTTGTTAGAGGGCACTGTCCTCCCAGTTACTATCTTAACTGACCACAAAAATTTATCGTATATGGGGGAGGCCAAAAGATTATCTGCCAGGCAGGCACGTTGGTCTATGTTCCTTACACACTTTTATTATATGCTTACTTACAGGCCTGGTTCTAAGAACACTAAGGCAGACGCTTTGTCACGTCAGCACGAACCTATCACCTCTACAGAGGACACTTTGTTCCCTATTATTCCTGAAGTCAATATTATCGCCAACACCAATGTCAAAATACACTCTCCATTGCTCGCTGATATTATGAACGAACAATCTCTTGCTCCCGAACGTACTCCTGTGGGCCGCTTGTTCGTGTCTCCCAAATTCCAAGTGGACATTATTCGCTGTTTTCACGATAGCAAGTTCGCTGGTCACCCCGGCATCCACAAAACTTACTGCCTGATCTCCAAAGACTTCTGGTGGCCCGGTTTACGTAGGGATGTGGAAGACTTTGTCAAGGCTTGCAATGTTTGTGTCAGGAATAAACTTCCGCGGGATCTCCCTTGTGGTTTATTGCAGCCCTTAGTCGTTCCCAACAAACCTTGGGCTTGTTTGGCTATGGATTTTATTGTTGATCTACCAGCTTCCAGTAGGCATACGGTTATTCTCACGGTCCTTGACAGGTTTACTAAAATGGCTCATTTCATTCCCTTGCCTAAACTTCCGTCCTCTCCTGAACTGGCCGTGATTTTTGCTAGAGAAATTTTCCGTTTACATGGTATTCCCAATGAGATTGTGTCAGACAGGGGTTCCCAATTTATTTCCCGTTTTTGGAGATCCTTCTGTTCCCAGTTGGGCATCAAACTGAATTTTTCTTCGGCCTATCATCCTCAATCTAACGGAGCAGCCGAACGCACTAACCAAAAAATTGAGCAATATCTACGTTGTTTTGTTTCTGAACACCAGGATGACTGGGTCGGTCTGATTCCTTGGGCGGAGTTTGCTCACAACAACCTTGTTTGTGGTTCCACTCGTAATAGCCCCTTTTTCTTGAACTATGGCTTTAACCCTACTGTTCTTCCGTCGGTGTCTCCTTCCCAGGGTATACCGTCGGTTGATATTCATATAGCCAACCTGAGAAAGTTGTGGGATCAGACTCGACAAATTCTTACACGTAGTTCCGCGGTGTTCAAGTCACATGCTGATAGGCGTAGGCGGCCTGCTCCTATTTTTTCTCCGGGTGATAGGGTCTGGTTGTGTGCCAGACACATTCGCCTGAAAGTTCTTTCCTTGAAGTTTGCTCCTCGCTACATTGGTCCTTACAGGGTGCTGAGGAGGATCAACCCGGTTTCTTATTTGCTGGATCTGCCTCCTACTCTACGCATCCCTAACTCTTTTCATGTGTCTTTATTGAAACCTCTTGTTTGTAACAGATTTTCCTCCCGCTCTGCTCCTCCATCCTCGGTCCATGTGGATGGTCAGGAGGAATATATCATCAAGTCCGTCCTTGATTCTCGTATTTCTAGGGGGAAGCTGCAATACCTCATAGACTGGAAAGGTTATGGTCCAGAAGAGAGGTCTTGGGTTCCTGGTATAGACGTGCATGCTCCTCGTCTTCTTCGGGCCTTCCACGTTCGTTTTCCTTCTAAGCCCGGTCCCATCCGCCCGGTGGGCGTTTCTAGAAGGGGGGGTACTGTCAGGGTACCTGTTGGTGCTGAATCCAGGGAAGACATCCTCTCTGTTTAGGGGCTCCCTGCCCCTAGCATTTCGGCATATTCCGGCCGTTTTCGCGCCGGCCGCGCTAGCTCCTCCCCCTTTTATGACGCGACGGCTAGCGTCGACGTCATGACGTCGGCATTTACATGAAGTGCCGGGAACCGCTATTCCGGACCTTTTGGGGGCGTGGTCCCTATTTAGGTAACAGGGTATTTAAAGGAAACCTTTACTACTGCTCATTGCCCTGTCGTGGTTCTAGCTTGCTAGTCACTCAGCGCGTTCTTTATCTTGTGTTTCTGGTTTTGACCCTTGCTTGTCTTTTGTCCTGTTGTCCTCTCCTCTCCTTTGACTCGGCTTGTATCTCGCTTACCTGTCCTCCGGCTCCCTCGACCTCGGCTTACCTTTTGACTATTCTTGCTTTGTCCCTACGTTAGTCCGGCCATTCTAAGGTCCGGTATACGTACCTCCTTCTGTCCGCACTCTGCGTATTGGATCCCTGTCAGTATCCTGACAGCAATAGACTGCCAGACCAGCCCCCTCTGATCCACCCCCCAGGGGTCTGCCCACTGAGAAACAACTAGTTTAGATATATGAGGGTGTTGGACTATCCAGGGAGGTCAGTTATTCATTTTCTTTTTGTCAGTAACTTCTAGGAGACCTATACCATCTAAGACTCCCACAAGAATTCTATATGGGGTAAATATATGTAAGGAATTTCTTGTGTTTTCTCCTATTTTATTTTATGTACTGTGTTGCAATTTGTTATCTGTATGTCATTTATTTCTGTATTTTGTACTCAGCACTGTGAATCCTTTTTGTCAGATTAAATGTTTACTTAATCAGCTTGTGTCTCTGTTCTCTATGAGCTTCACTCTCCAGAGGAAAGCTCAGGTAAACACGTTACCAAAAGGGGTTAACTATATATGTTTTATCAGTAAAAGTAGAACTGTGATACTATAATTCTCCTGTGTGTGGGGTAACCTAAGACGCCCGGGTTTAAAAGTCTTGGTGGTGGCAGTAGTACTAAGGGGGATAGTGTAGAAGGGATTGCAGGGGTTAATTGAGTGGTTGCTGGGACTAGCAACAGGTAACCAGGGGTCTGGTGTCATTAACCCTGTCACTTCCACACTCTCCCCACTGTCTCGGCTGGGCCTATAGCCCACGCACGTGACACAGTGTTTACAGCAAAAAGCCTGAAGGTAATGATTCTACTCTAAGCTGTAGTTGTTCTGGTGACTATAGTGTCCCTTTAAATAGAGCTAGTTCCGATGTTAAGATACTAATAGAAGAGTCTACTTTCATTATTAGTCTATGGATTTCCATCCAATATTCAGACAATTTT